CTTCTTGGGCTAATTGGGTAAGTCATACAGGCTGTTATATTGTTCTAATCTCATTTGACATTTGAGATCTATTGGGTATCACGTTTTCTTTTGGGTTAAGAAGGTCAAAAGTCAGGCAGTATCTATTTTCTATTCTGATATTTATTTTTCATTACTTTGTTTTGGATTTTCAACTTTTACTTTTATATTATTTTAACTTGAAACAATTATTATTTTTTTTTCAAAAATGAAAATGGTTGGGAAAACATTTTTGTTTTGATTGTTGGAATTTTTTTATTACACATTGTTAGATTTCTATATTAATGTGATGATTGATGAATTATGAATTATTTATATATCTCTTTTCATGGTTTCGGGTACATATGTTAATTTTGATGGTTTTTAAGAATTGTTTTATGTTCTTTTCATTGACTTTATCTTGATAATTTATAATTTAATTAATAATTCTATACATTTGATATAATTTATTCTCAGAACAAAAACAGGACATTTTTCCTTTTTCTTTCTTGAACTGAAAAATTGAATTCCCAGTTCATTTTTTCTTTTCCCATTTTTATTTTCTGTTTTGAGTCTTCGATTTTTATTTCTTTTTTCTTTTTCTTTTTTAAACTGTGATACCAATTAATGATACTCCAGGTTTGTAACTCCTTTTGAGATGCTTGACACTAAAGTGTGAAAATTAACAACAATTAAATGGTGTGATGAAATACTATTATTGACCTTACCAGCATCCCCCTATATCATTAGGACTTAGAAATTAAAGATTCAAATGAGAAAAACGAACGATATGCCTCTTTGAGTTCAGGGTTGATTTGCTAAAGCAAAATATTGTAAACCATGCTAATCTCAATAATTAAGAACCCGTTACTATGGTAATTTGAGGAAGGCAACTTTGCATTATAGCAGCTGGGAGATTATCCTCCAAGGTGGAACTGCTAACATGTTTGCTCAACCATTGAATTGTTTATTATAGTTTCTTTCAACCAAATTTCATTGAGTCTCATTTTCAAATATGTTGTAGTGAAGAACGTCAACGTACCGCCACAATACACAAATGCCTTTTCTACGTTGAAGTATTCAATTTGCGTAGATTGTTTTAAGGAGTAGAGACCTTAACATAGGTATCTTGATCTCTGGGGGTGAGATCACTAAATCTCGGTTTGCTCAATGGGCCCAAATAGTTTTACACTTTTCCTGACCATTTTTTTTATGCAGCAGGCCCAGCCTGTGTAGATTACGCTTTTGTATCCAATTCCTTCGTGACATTGATGGTACCCCTTCCAAATTCCAATGATCGAATTCCTTTGCTGCTAAAATTTCCGACTCTACAGACTATTTTTTGTGTCTTTTAGTTTTTACGTTAATTAATTTGTTAAATTTATTTAAATATATATATTTTTGATTTATGAATTTATAAGTTAAAAAATTAAAAATATATATCATAAGTTTAAGAATTTAAAATATACATATTTAAACAATTTTAATGAACTAACTAATCAAAGAATTAACAAAATATTTTTTATAATTTAAAAACTAAAAAATATAAAAAAAATAATTTAGAGATTGAAAAATTTTTAAATTAAAAGACTGATGACTAAAATTAGCATTAACCAAAGTTTAACAGACCCATAACTTCGACGTCCTCTATGGTGTTTGAAAAAGAAAAAAAAGTAATAATGTAAGGCATGCGTAAAATTGTGTTGTGTTAACTTTTAAAA